TCTTTGGTCTTGGTCATGGTGGAGAGTTTGGAATCTGATTGATTGATTGCTTCTGTGGACAGGTGTCTTTTATACAGGTAGCAAGCTGAGATTAGGAGCACTCCCTTTAAGAGTGCGCTCCTAATCTCAGCTCGTTACCTGTATAAAAGACACCTGGGTGCCAGAAATATTTCGATTGAGAGGGGGTCAAATACTTATTTCCCTCATTAAAATGCAAATCAATTTATAACATTTTTGACATGCGTTTTTCTGGATTTTCTTGTTGTTATTTTGTCTCTCACTGTTCAAATAAACCTACCATTAAAATTATAGACTGATCATTTCTTTGTCAGTGGGCAAATGTACAAAATCAGCAGGGGATCAAATACTTTTTTTCCTCACTGTATTACCACTTTTTTTTAAATCAATGGTTATCCTACGTAGGAGCTGTGTTCCCCAACATCGGGATGTGGAATTTCCACCGCTGGTTTCGGGCTGCACGTAGAGATGAACACTGCTTCAACGCTTCCCTTGAGTATCCAGACCACGTGTATTGAGCGTATGCTGTTTATGTTTAGGTTCACACTGCATTACAATCCCAGTGACCCAGGTTCATCGCTTGGGCATGTTGCAATTCAGCTTGAACTGTAATTCCGAACCTGCGCTGAGCCTCGCATAGGTCATCTAAGCCTATAATGAGCACCTGATGGAGTGTGCTTGTTGGTCACCAATGCAGTTAATTGGCCAAGAGACAGCAGAGCTGTACTTGCCCTAATTTCCTGTGCCACCTTCTGTGCTTTGCCAGCCTTGCTAGGTGCTCACTGACAGTGCCCGGTTCTCGAGCCTTCACACGCCAAATTGTGTTCGCGTGTGTTTGTGCTGCAAAACTTATCTAGGGGGAAATGTTAACCGTCTCAGATGACAGCCCAACTTTACAGCTACACTGCGCGCAACAAAGACAAGCACTCGTAAAACTTGAAAGTTATTAATACTGTAAATCTACGGTCCTGCGATATGGCAACGTTAAATTATGTTTACACAATAGAAATCATGTGCGCATTGACAATTGATTATGGGGGGGGGGGGTTAAATACTCCACGTACTTTATTAATTTCCTTCTTTGCCCTCTACTTATCGACTTAGTCATTCACGTGTAAACAAAAATAATCGGAAAGAGGGGGACCGACGCCGAGGCTTGATGGGGCATTGGGCACAGGCGGGCGCAGGCGAGACGGAACTCGTGTTTACGCAAACGGCACAAACAAATAGACTCCAGTTATCTCGCCGTAAACACAGGCCTGGCGTGGCAGTGCATTTCAAAACTTGCATTTCAATGGGCTCGGCCCAAAACCCCGCACTGTTAATTACATATTATATTTTATCTCCGCTCTGCCACACGCCTCTAATCTGAGCCTGCCGTATAAGCATCCATGGCGGCAATAATGTTATTTTTCTTTATTTTTTTCCCCTACTTTTTCCCCCTCCCACCCATCCATTATCCACCCTCCTTTTTTTTTCCTTGGCATAGAATGCGGTGATTCCAGGGAAAAGTGACAGACTAAATGAAATCGATATTTGGACACAGTTATCGAATGCGTGAATGTTTGTGCTGGTTATCATTGGCGTTGTAGGGCAACGGGTGTAATTTCACGATGGGTTTTGATCAATCGCAGGTGCTTAATTTATCGCTGCCGCCCAAAAGCCAATGGCCTTCCCACGTGCGTACAGAATAGCTCTCTTAATTTAGGGAACACATGACGGAAAAGACGTGAAATTTTTACTTAGATGTTTTCTAATTGTGAAATTGACATTTTATTTGTTTTTAAATGCCGACGCACATTTGGTGGTGTGGCGGTTCGGCCACCGGTTTGGATTCCTCAGCAACTGGAAGTGTGCGTTTTCAGATGGCACGTCTTTTATCACAATTCATCACAGGAGCTGGGAGCCACTAATCTAATCCAGTATTTTAACACGAGTAAGACTGAATATGGATTAAGCAGGCGTTCATTTGAAAAAGATGAAGAGGCGAACTGAAACCCAAAAAAAAAGGGTGCAGGATTGCGCTTGTGTGTGTAGCGGGTGAGGACGGATGGAATTGGTAGGGTTTTCACGCGTGTGTTTGCGCGTGTGCATGCGTGTGCGCCCCTGCAAAGGGACTTGGAGCCTGAATCTGCCAGAGCCGATAGGGGTGGCCTTGGAAATAAATACCCCTCATTAGCCGGCGGTAATCAGAACCGCCTTCACAGCTGCCCCATTGTTTGCTCGAGAAAAAAAACATCAAGCCAGCCGCACTGACACCATCCCAGCGACCTTAACAATTAGCTGAAGTTCAAAGACACGCCGGGTTTAGACGTACCACTGAGTGGGCAGTGGAGAACCGCGATAACCACGAATGCTGAAACACTTTTTAATTAATTTTCTGGAATTAAAAATGCAAATGAGGCATATGTGGCTTTTGTTTTAAAAAAAATCAGCTTTCTCTCCTCCCCCCCCCCCCTTAACGCCAAACATCGCCACTCCTCCTCTGTCCTCTGTTCCCCCTCCTCCTCCTCCACCACCACCACCAGAAGCATTCTACCGTCTCCTCGTTATCCATCGCCTTCCCATGCAAACGTCATCCCCATCGGGTGGACATAAGCGGCGTTTGCCGACGTTTTGTTCCTCGTGCAGCCGGCCAGCTCGAATGGCGAGCGCGCTTGAGTGGTAAACACACCCTTGCATTTAGATGCGTATCGTCGCCGGTTTCTGCTCACATTTCTAATCACGCAAACGCCTTTCCTTCGAATCGCCCGGCAAGCCCGCTTAATCTCATAGAAGCAGCTTGACACTTGTCTGATTGAAAAATTTTGGTGCAGCCCTCAACCACAATGGCCATTTCTGCATACAAAGCTGTCCAAAGGGGGAGAGACTGAGAGAACGAGAGAGAGAAATTCTACTTAGGTAATACCATTTATTAAAAAAAAATCTACGCAAGCTGTTTTGGCAGCGCAAGGCATGCATTCTTTGGCGGTTGCACGGTTTACATCAGAGGGTGGAAAGAGAAACTTTTGTTGTTGTTGGAAGTCACGTGACTATTGGCAAGACATCTGTCATACATAGCAAGTAGGGAGAACATTCTTAAAATTGCATTTTTATTATCGTCATCAGCATAATTCATTTTTATTTATATATAAAACGGACAAGGTATTTTGTGTCTCTTACCTTCACTGTTTTTTTTTTCGTTGAATTTAAATAGTTAATGTAAGAGCCACCAGTTCTAGATTTTAGCTAACATCTGGCTTAAAAATAATCTATAATGCAAGGATTTGATTTCATGTAACTTGACCAGGCACAGATGTTTGTGATAGGTAAACAAGCCATACTGTATAAAAAACAGCTCTTTGCTGGAATTTGACTGCCAAATTTTCTACAGTTTAAATGCAAAATGCATTTGAGCGACTGCTGTTTTATTTATTTTTCGTTAGCGGGGTGATGATTCGCCGAGTTTTTTGGGGGTTTTATTTCTTATTTTTTTTGTTCCAAAATGTGATTCAAAGCATTGCAATTTGAAGCCAAATCTCTCCCAGGTGTGACACTGCAGATGGCAAAGCCTCTAATTAGTGGTAATGAATCATGCTGCTCATAGCATGTTTATTATGTTCCATTAGGCAAACCTGCAACATAACTGGCACTTTTGCCGGTTCAGAAATCATAGCAAATTCAGACGTGGCATATTAGTACGTGCAACACCGCGGTAAAATTGCACCTGAAAACTCGACGCTGTTGGTAAAATCAATGTACCTTGATTAATTGCAATTTACGCCCCCCCCCACCCCCCCCCCCCCCGTATCCAAGACGCCGCTGGCAAAGCCTCCGACGATTGCGGCGCGCGAAATGGGTTTGATACCGGGTCGCGACGCGCGCTTTTTGGCTCCGTGCTCCGGCAGCGAGGCTCGGCAATTAAAGGCGTGGAGCGTTGATTGCTCGCAATGCCTGATTTAAAATCAAGCTCTCCCTTGCGAGTGGCTCGCTCGCACGTTCCAAGTTTTTGGGAGCGCTAAGCGGCAGATGGCTACTTTGTAGATGAGGACACTACCGCCATTCACCGATTTGTTCTCGCATTAATGCGGTTATTGCAGGTTAATATCGCGCTGCTAGGGGACTCGCTGTATTGTACCGCGCACTGCACACATTAGTGGAATGTGTGCGCGTGCTGGGGATGGGGGTTGAGAGTCAGGGAGGAGTGCTGTGGGCCACTTTAAAATGCGCGCTGCATTCCCTTTGTTTTAGTCTTTAGTTGTGAAATCCATGGAATCAAATTGATTTTTCAAATTTTCAAAGGGCAATGATGCTTCATTCGCCACCCACACCCCATAATCCCCATTCCGGTGTTAACTATTTATTTTAACACGCGAAAGATGCATGTGTTCGTAGGAAAAAAATGTTGTTTAGCAATTCATAATCTCATAAATAATGGTATTTTACTGTAATTGCTGGAATGTAGGAACAAATTATTGCATGAGATTCATTCATCATCCATACAACTTTACAAATATGCGTAAATGTTTGAACTAAGAGTGAAATTATTAATCCAATCCACACATATAACAGTGACTGCCAAGGAGAGAGAATGGGACCTGCCATAGGAATATATATATAATTTCAGCACAGACAGTGGTCGCTTACGGAGATGAGAACCGTCTCATGCTCGTTTGAGCAGCGAGAAATGTTGACTTTTTAAAAATTTTGGTTCTATGAAAATAATCTTTATCCGTAAAACACGATTCAGTCATAGGTCTAAGTGTCTCCCTGCTTGATGATCATTGGGAACTCTCATCTCCATTGGTGGCCCTAAGCCAGCAGAGGCAACTCCACATTTCTATGGTGGGGACAAGTTGAAATGAGTAACAAGAGCCTTTCAAGAATCTCCTGTTATAACGTCCGAACAATTAATATTTGTATTGAAAATAATAGATGCAAATGGATGATTCACTGTGTGTGTACTTCATGCTAATATCATTCATACGTGTGTCTTTTCACAGATGCATCGCTGATGGTTAACGGCACGTCCCTCTCAAATGTACCTGCAGCCTGTGGCCACCTTCGCTATAATTACCTGCTATGATGGCCCCTTAGAGCACGGGCTCCACCTCGCAGGACTATTTGGACATGACTCCTAATTAGCCTGCTGCAGCGGAGTGCACCCCCCCGGTGTATCATGACGGATCCGGGTCAACATGCGTGCAGTGTTTACAAGCAGGGCGACGCAGCGTCATACCAACAAGAGATGGGCCGCGGCCATGCCGGACCCCCTCCGAGTTTCAGCGCCACTCTCGACGACGGCGCCTTTACCAGGGACCCGTCAGCCACCGCATCGGCAACATCGGCGGCGGCTGCTGCGGCTGCGGCAGGATACACGCACCAGCGGGAAGCCATCATCCGACCGCAGCAGGCGCGGAAGTTCGGGCTCGTGCCGGGCGGTGGTAGCGGCGGCGGCGCAGGCTCAAGGCTCACGTCGGGATGCCAGGAGATGAAGGGATGGGGAGTGAGCCGCTCGCCCGCGCGCTCGCCCAGCGGCAAGCACAGGGGGCGGGAGAAGTTCAAGCGCTTCGGCAAGGGGGGCCGGCCCAGCTCGTACGGAACCAAGGGGAGCCTCACCATCGGCATCGCTTACCCGCAGCAGAAGTCCGCGTCCCAGCCGCAGAGGATTCGTGACGCGGGCGAAAGCGCTGCGCAGTCGCACGAGGACGGCGACGGGAAGGGCCTCCTCCTCTCCTCTTCGCCGGCGTTCGTAAAACGGGCCCAGCACTTTCAGCAGGAGAATGACACTTGCTATGGGACTTCAGCCGATGCTGGGCTGCAGCAGCAGCAGTTGCAGTTACCAATGGCACAAATGCAGCAAACGCATCATTTTTATCGCCCGTCTTCAGGCCAGAACTTTGGGGTGCAGTCTTGTGCACAGTCTCTGTTGAATCACGCCGCGGACAAGCATTTCGCGATGAAACCTCGAACAAATGAAGGCGACGTCCTGCATACGCACGGCCAGGAGAAGTATTTAAACAATGTCCAAAATCAATGCGCGGCGAGCCTCCAGCAAGTCCTGGCGTCCGATCCATCGTTTCTCCTTGCCGACGACGCGATCTGCAGCTACAAATCGAACACTACTATTCACGCGCAAAAACGTTTCAGCAGTGCGACACTCGTGAAGCCAAACCATAACTACCAGCAACACAGCCTGGGAAACGGCCACCACTTGCATTCACAGCAACAAGCACCCACGAACGCTTGCGACTCACAAATCTCTTTAGCGACAAGTCCCGTGACTTGTACAGATAGCATGGCACTGGAAAGCAGCCCCACGGAGCATGACCTGTGGCACATGCAGAGGTCCCAGACCCCCGGTGTTCATGTGGCAACGGTGTACGTAGGGCCCCCTCTGTGGAAGGGCAGCACAGGTGGATCTGCTTCTCATCCCCTGCCTCAAAGACAATCGATCAGTGAACTCAAGAACCCGCAGCTGACCATGGCAAACGGATCTCAGGCTATTAAGACGACTACTGCTAGGGCAAATGTGAATGGTGCATCGCAGGACTTCGCATCGTACCAGGAAATGTCGTTTTTAGCGATGGATCCGCATGGAAATGAGCCGCCCGAAATTCTGCACCACCAACACATGTCCAAGTATGACGTTCTGCCTCCCTACACGAGGTCGAACGTGCACCATGCCAACAGCTTAGCAGGTCTGCCACTCCGGACAGACTCGGCGAACCAAATTTGCAAGCAGCAGGTGTCCGTCCCCCCTTCTTCCACTTCCAGAAAAGACAACAAGCAGTGGGCACACCCTACAAACTATGGACTTTCAAATCCGCAGAACAACCACAAGGTATCGGACGTCTTTAAACATTACTCTGCCGCCGTCGACATCGCGTCCATAACCAACCAACAGCTACCGTGGATGCTGTGCGACGAGGCACACCCGCCGCCCTCGTCCAAGGTCAGCGTCTCTTACAGCCTCGCCGACCTGCCCGCCTACCCGGCCACGCTCGAGCTCTCCCCGGGCGTGCCCGCCATGTCCTGGTTTCCATCTCCCGCGCCGGGCGCAGACGACGGCTGCCTGCCGTCGCCCGCGGAGTTCAATCTGAAGCAGCCGCCGTCCGGCTACGAGTGGCGCGTGCCGACGTTCGACTGCGGCGGCGGAAATGGCAGCGGGGGGTCATCCAACTTTCCCGACAGCTGCGCGAGCGGCGCGGACATCGCGCGTGTGCTCGACCTGCAGCCCCCCTACGGCGGCGGGCAGGTGAGCGAGGCGGGCGACTCGTCGAGCGAGTGGCCCGGCGCGGAGCACCCGCTGCTGAAGGCGCAAGGCGGCTCGGCCGAAGAGTCGGAGGACTCGGCGCAGCAGAAGCTGCTGAGCTCGCTCAGCAGCGCCAACCTGGACCAGCTCAATGTGCTGCTCAAGTGCAAGCAGTGCGACAAGCAGTTCAGCACCGTCGGCGCGTGCCTCCACCACAGGCAGTTCTGCTCGACGTCCGCCAACGCTGCAGCGGTGGCAGCGGTCACACACACGACGTCTCATCCGCGGGGCGATGAGGCGGAGCAAAGCATGATGGGAGCGCCGCACTGCCGGCCGCATGAAAGTCTGCAAACTCTTCACAGGTCCAATAAGTTTGGCACGATCGCAAACAGGCTGCCAATTCACGAAAGCGACAAAGATGTCGGGGCCGGCAGGCTCAATGGCCTGTCGCTGGATGGCAGCAGTTTCTGCTCTCCAGCACCCAGCGAAATTGAGATTGAAGAAGCAAAGCTCGACAGCTTGATCTTGGAGACCTTGAACTGCCTGAGCTACCAGCTTGATGGCAGCGACATTGACAACAGCTTTGTGGAGGCATTCGTCGATGAGATTTTGCCGGGCAAGCAGCACAGGGAGAAGCAGATTGTTGTGGAAGGTCTTTCAGAAATGTCCCTGCCTCCACCAGTGGAATGTGACAGTGCCAATATGCAAGTGCCAACCGTTCCCAAAGTCGGTGCAAGCCCTGCGAAAGGAAAAGATATGAATAAGCTCAAAATAGAAACCCTCAAGCAAAAGAGAAAACCGAAAAAATCAGGCGCCAAGCAACAGCAATTGATTGACCAGCCGACAAGGAAAGCGCGACAACGGGATGCAGGCGGCAGCGTGGAATCCTGTACGGAGCCTTCCAGCAACGTGTCCTACAAGTGGTATTCTCAAAACAAGCACAAGGGTTACAGGGTCTCATCACTACATGGAGCACGGCATGATGGACAGAATTCCGAGAAAGATTATTGCGACACCGGCTGTGCAAATGATTTGAAGGTGCACAGGAACGCAGGATCATCGGCGGCCATTTCGAAAGATGACAGAACACAACCGATTCCCGTCAGGCATTCGAAAAAACATCCGATTAAGGGTACGAACAATAAGAAGAGGCCTCCTCTCGGCGTTCCTGTGAACGGATCGTTGCACGCGCCAGAGCCCGCGCCGCCGAGAACACACGCAGCGTTTAAGCGTGGCGAGTCGTTGCCGAAGGACCCGGCGACTTCAGAGTGCAGCACGAAGAAAACCCGAGAAAGTGAGTACGACTTTGTGTCCGATTCCGAGGAAGAGTTGTTTGCGGAAAAGAATGCGTTGCACAGAATAAAAACCAAGAGGACTTTGGCGCTGGGAGACATCCACCGATCGGCGAAAGATGTTAATCAAGCGAACCGAAAATATAGCATTTCCAAGAATGGCAGTGAGAGCGAGAGCAATGTTCTCCACAGTGTGGACGATTCAGAAAGTGACCTTCACAGTCCCAGCAAAGCACGCGAGGCATCTATTGAGCAGATTGTTGCGCGTAAATGTATCACCGATTCTGACGGCAATAATGAAAATGGACAAGTCAGTCGGCGGTGTTATGACAATGATGAAACGGGCGGTCGGAGGCAAAAGACTTTTCCTAGCTCTGTCGAAGAAGCTTCCATTTCAACATTAACTGCCACTGAGGGCGATGTGAGTTTGAGAAATCTGAGAACGTGCTTTGGAAATGGGGCAGGCGCTCACGGAGTGCCCGCGCAAGATAAAGGTTTTATGCCCGGACAAGGAGCGATGCGAATTAATGACGCAGAGCATGATGAATCTTCAGCGGATTGTTACGAGGCTAGTAATGCATGCACCGGTGAAAAGGCCAACGTCCCAGCATCAAGCCAGAAGCGCAATGCCAAAGATGTTAATTGCGAGGCAACTCAAGATGGGTCTCAGGTTAATTCTTGCCCTGACACCTCAATGTGGTTAAACAAATCGGAGAATGACAATCCTTCTGTTTGGGCAGTGGCCAAACTTGCTCCTACTGATAAGACAGGAGCAAAAGTGCAGGAGAGTTTAGAGGCATTGGGGAAGGACAATGATGTACCATTCATCCAGCTGGAGAATTTTTTCACGGATGGTGTTGATCGAGATGGCAAATTACAAGAGCGTGACCCGGTACATTTGGAACATTTAGATAGGATCACTTCTGAGGTGAGCGTTTCCAGGTCTACCCCGTATATCTCTCGCTTGCCAGTTTCATCGCAACACACGCGTGACGGTGGCACTGGCGCAGGCGACCAAAGTAAAGAGCTGAGCCGCCGGCAATCAACAGTGAATTTTGATGAGCCAACCACCAAAGAGACCTCGGAAGTACATCACGACGACAGATGGGACTTTGACACGGAAAACATGCTCTCGGACTTGCAGCTTCCTGAATTCGATTGCACGCTCTTTCCCGAGATAGCAAATGAAAAGTCACTCCTCTTAGCAGAAGAGCACGTAGCCGACAGGGACCTTGATAATCAAAGAGAATTTGAGAACTTTGTCTCATTTGTCACTGACAAGGCCTGCATGAGCTTGTCCAACCAGGTAACCTTGACGGACGACCAACAAAACGATAACGGACCGCTAGCTTTTGCCAAATTGTGCGCTGACAGTGAAACGACCCGCCAAAGTTTTGATGCGAGTGCGTCAGTGAGCTTGAGCGAATCGGATCCGCCCGCTGCGTGTTCGGAAAGCGGCAATGGCCCTTTGTGCGATTTCGATATCTCCTCGACAACAGCAGCCCCGTCGCGTGTGACGCAGATTTCGGAGACCGGCGGCATTAATCTCCACTCCTCGGCAGCTCAGGTGGACGCAAACGGCGAAGCCCTTCCGCCCGGCATGGCCGAGGTACTTAGCGTGCCACCACCCAGCACCGACGTCGCTGGAGCCGATCCTCTAGAGATGAGAGAAATCAGTGCTGCGATGCGCGACAGCTGCACGGGGGGCTTAATGGACGCGTTTGAAAACCACTCCGATGCGGGCAACTTCCACCCCGACGGCAACGAGCACTTTTTCGGGGGAAATGACGCCATGGGTTTTTCCATCTTCGGCGAAATCTCCTCGCTGTCCGTCGCGGCGTGCGGGGATGGCGATGCAGACTCTGATGGCGCGGAAAGGTTGCACGCCGATGCAAACCAAACCGTGTCGAGCCCCAATCAACATTTCCCGAAATATTTCCTCAACGAACTGCCGGTCATTATTGTGGTCGATGATGCGCCTGAAAATAATCAACGGGCGGACGGTTTCCTGCAATTGGGTGCGTTGGATGGGGACTTGAACGAATGTGAACTCGCGTTGGACAATGCGGAGGGTTCAAGCGGGCGGACGGCAGAATCGCACGAGATGAGCGGTGACGCCCACAAATGCACGGGCGTTTACTTTGATTTGCCTGTCCCCGAAGAGCAATCACTCACTTGTGAAACACAACACCAGCAGCAGCAACAGAAGCATCAACAAAATGAGCTCACAAGCAACGGGGCGACGTTTGCAGTTGAAATGGACGAAGCCTCGGCAGAAATTCCTTGCGATGGCGATGAAATGTTGAGCCCTCCACCGATAGCGCAGGATGTGCGCTCTGATGTTTCGTCACAAAGCGTGCCCGTTTCGGAGGAGGGAAAACAAGTGCATGCTTGCCAGCGGATTACGGTGACGCAGCCGGTGCAGCAGCTTGAGGAAGGAGCGACATCAGAGGGAGACTGCCACTCTAAATCCCTTCACTCTGCAGGCCACTTGACCTCTGAACAGCCGGGCTTGAATAACACCAGGAAGAGACAAGAAAATGAAAGTGACCTTTCAGAGCTCTTCTTGGAGGCAGCTGTCGAAGCCAGCGCAGGTACGAGCGAAAGCCCGTTCGCAGGAGCGAATACGCGCGATGGTCGGGGTGCGGCAGAAACCTCGCCGCGCGCGTCCGATTCGCCGGCAGACATTCCGCGCGGCACGGACGGCGGGTCCTGGGAGTCGAGGGACGCGTTGGCAAACGCTGCCACCGATTGTCAGCCCTGCGGCGGCGTGACGGGGGCCGGCGAACAACGAGACGCAGCGGGTGAAGTGGGTGGGGCGAAGGGACGGGCCGAATGCTGCGCCGCGACACTTGAAGAGCTGGAAAACGCGAAAGGGTCGCCGGGAGAAATGTATCCAAGTGGGAAAGGTACGAGCTGCCGAGAGACAGAAAATCAAGCGGAGCCACTCGACGCACGAGGATCTGATGGCCATCTCGGAGAATCTTCCAGCAAGCCCGCAGAGCGGTACTCAATTGCAAGAGCTGGAAAAGAACTTTGCAGCTCATCGGATTCTTCCAGCATGAATAAATATTCAGATTGCGTGTCGCCGGGTGCCCAACGCGAATCTGATGAGCGCGACACTTGCCAGACATCTGGTGAAGAGCCCCAGGAATCTCCGACTAATGTGGCGGATAATGACTTCTTAAAATGTCTGCTACCGGCAGCTTACTGCGGCACTGCGTCCGATAGCAGGGACTGTGAAATGCATGGAGGGGAGTGCAATCAAAAAGGAGGAATAAATATGAAGGAGAACGCATTTAATGGTCGCGATGAAGGTAACGATTTTTCAGAGATGATCTTGCCAAAGTTCACGTCGTGCACATCGAAAAGTGAGAGTGAAAAAAGCCCCATCAATTCTTGTAAAATCCAATCGGGCGAGTCTGGGACGTCTGAGCAAATGTTTGAAATCTACGGCAATCCATTTGCATCAACGCCATATTCCCCAACTTCTGGGGCTGCAGAGATATCAGCTGAACATCTCCAGCAGAGCGTGGGGTGTGGAGTGCAAGAGGTTTTTGGAAAAGGTAACGATAGCAAAGCAAATCCTGGCCCAGATACCGAAAATTGCTTTCAGGTCAGCACTTCAAACATGGACCACAGAGATGATTTCAAAGATAATGATGATAATGATAAGAAGACGATCATTGAAACTGTGTCAAAAACAGATCTTATTATCAGTCATGATTTTTACGGTGCGAGCTGCCAGCATTCTCCCGGGAGTGTGGAAACAATTACGATTATTCGCGACAGCATTTTAAATGGTGAAGCTGCGACGCCGGATTACAGTGATGTGGGAAATAAATTTGAAAATGACAGCTCTAGTATCGACGCTTCCATCTCGAGAGGAGCAAACACCGGCAAAAGGGTGCATGGTCAAAAAAAGAAAAAACTGCACACAATTGAATCGGGCTGCAAATCTAAAAATGAGTTCCTTCACCACTCTGGGATTAATCCTGGAATTCGAATCGGCCAGAGCCACAATCGCGTAGAGTCTCACATCTCTGAGAATAACCCAAAACTAGACGGACTTGATAAGAGTAGACTAGATGGCGTAAAAAGCAATTCCGGTTGCATTCTGTCGATCGTGGCAAAATCCACCGGCGTCTGTTTTATCGTGGAAGATAAAGGCGCGGCAGAAAGGAGCAGCTGTAAAGATTACGATCAAAGTATACAGCAGGGTCTGCTTCTTACAGAGGATGAGCATTGTCTCGAGTCACAAAATGAGGCCCGTGAGTTGAAAGACCACACAGGTGATGCAAGCGCTGGCCTTCCTGCAAGGGATGACAGAGCTGTTAATTCGGCAGCAGCTGCTGCTTCTGCAGCGAGCGACGGTAATGAAAGCACCTGTGTCCTGACGATGCCGCGGATAGACGCTGCAGCGGGGGCAACTCGGCGGGAAAACATTCAACAGTTTGATGAGTGTAAAATATCTCGGAGGAAGCCACGGGGCTTATCTGATGATGAAAGTAATACTCTCCTGTGGCAGTCGAACAAAAAACGGTCAGCAGGCGATGCAGCCGGCATCAAAGACGGCAGCGAAAACACGGAGACCGAGCGAGCGGAGGAGTTGGTCAAAGGCAGGGGCGGCATCCAGATGAACACCGAGGAGGCGACGAGCCACCCCGAGCACGGAGCGGCGACTTACGCGAAAGACGCCGCCCCGGACGAGAGGGATTCGTCGGGCGGCAGTGGGGGGGCGCCTTCAAGTGCCAGCGATGCCAATCGCCGCTCGTCAGGCACGTCAGAGGCCGCGGACGCCGCGGCGACAAGGGCCGAAAAGGGAACGGGTCGCGTGGCCACGTCCCCCGCCGGCTGGGCGCCTTCAGAAAATAGAACCGCGGCCGGGCAACATGTGGCGCGCTCCGCTCACGCGGGGAAGCTGCCGCCCGCCGCACCTGCCCTTTCCTGCGAGTTCTGCGAGGCTACTTTCGCCACCGCCATCAGCCGGAGCAGACACACCGTGATAAAACATCACATCAGACGCGTTCCTCGCCCCGCCGCGGGCGATAAGGCGGAGGCTGGAATTGATTCGGGCGTCAGAATGGAAAGTTTGCCTTTAGAAAATCCCACAGTGTTAATTAATCACTCGGAAAATCCTTCCGTATTAATTAAGCAGAGCACAGAAAGAAACGATGAGGGGGCTCGGGAAGATGAAATGAAGGGTGCGATAACATCAGCTATTTCTATGCTTCTTTGTCGCCGTCCTGGATCAGCTACAGTGAAGCAGCAGAGCATTTCAGAGGTCGATTCAGACGGTGAAGAGAACTCATTGTCCGGTTATGCGCCGATCGGAAGATCCGTGTCTGTTCGGGAAGCTGAACGCCGTGACACGAATTTAAGCCGCGTTAACCATTCCTCAGATTTCGCCGAAAAGCCGAGCAGAAAAATCTCCCCGAAAGACACGAAATTAAGGGCAGCAAAACACTTCGATGGATTTTCCAAACAAAGGAGAAGTGAAAAAGTGAACAAGCTCAAAAAGAGGCACGCCTTCAAGAGGAGGATTTCCAAATGTGCCCCCAAACGGGAAGGAAGCAAAACGTTCACACGTGAATCTGAACGTGAACAATCTGCTGCCAAAAAAATGAGCGGATCTTCGAATACGCCTTTGAGTAAAAATTCAAGGGAATTCAGGAGCACAGCATCGGCTGTTGTCAAATCCACGGCCAGTGTTTATCAGAGCCCTTCAATAACCAGCAAACTGCACTGTGAGAGGGTGGCCACACACTCTGAGAGACAGAGTATTGGCGACGTTGCCTCGGTTGGCACAGAGAGTCCCCTCTCTTATTCAGGAGTATGCAAGCAGACAAGCCAGCCTGAAGTTGATGGTCACTGTTCTGAACACGCAATTAAATTGGCAGATTTTGAAGAGGCGCGCGGGATTGGTGGTGCAGCTGTCGCTGATTGTGCCAACGCATCAGAGGTTTTGTCAGGTTCGGAGAAGGCTGCAAAAAAAACGGAACATCCGTGCGATGGCAAGGCCAGCGCAGACGCCTGCGTGGCGCTCCAGAAAGAAGGAGGAGGAGAAGCGGCGACGACGACGACGAACGTTGAGAACGCGCGCGTGTCGGACGCGAAGTGCAGCGACGCGCTGCCGGGCGTTGTGGTGCAGCGGCGGTGCTCGTCTGACCCAGACCACGACGCGACCCAGGGCGCAGACGTTGACGCTCGCGCCGCTCGCAGCGCGGCCCCCACGGAGATCGTCGACGGCGAGGAAACGGGCAAAGCGGTGCCTGCGCATGACCACGGGGGAGCGGCTGCGGGTTCGGAAAGCGGCCAGGGCCCCGCAATCGAGACGAGCGACGGTGACGTTCCGCTTCGGGAAGAGGGCGCCGTCACCAAAGACGCGGCGGGTGTGAACGCGACGGCGGATGCGAGCGCGCTACAAACCGGACGCTGCAGCCCGAGGGCAGGCGACATGCCCGCGGGCGAAAGTGAAATTCAAGATGTCGACAAACGCGACGACGATGCTTCCGTCTGCGAAACGGAGGGCGGTGGCGACGAGTCCAAAACGCCACCGGGGGATGGCGCAAAGTGGCAGGGAAAGCCGCACGCGTGCAAAGCGTGCGGCCTGGATTTCGGCACCGACGGCGAGCTGAGTGAGCACGCGGGCAGCCACACCCTGCTGCTGCCCGTGCCCACGTGCTACATGTGCGTGCAGAGGAAGTTCAGCTCGCTGGAGCAGCTCAAGGAGCACCTGTGGTCCAAGCACACGAAGAACAAGCCGGCCAGTTGGACGTGCGGGATGTGCCTGAGGGCCTTCACCGACGTGTGGCTTTACAACGAGCACCTGCGCGAGCACGCCGCGCAGTTCTCAGAACACACCGGCCACGCGCAGCGGAGGTCCTCACTCGCCGCACGCTCCGAGAGGCCCAGGGAAAACGCCCGCGTCTCCGCAAAGAAGCACAAGCCGGCACGGGCGAAATCTCGACCGACGGACGCCGAGAACTTGAAACCGTCCACCAAGGCCGAGGAGGAGCGCAGGCGCGCCAAACGCAGGAAAGCGCCCACCGCCGCAGCTGCTGCTGAAAGGGAAAGCGATAAAAGTGAATACAAACAGAATGAATTTTTCGCCTCCGACTTGTCGATGTTTGATTTCCCCGTCGATGACGAGCAGTCGGCAAGAACGCACCCGGAGTGCAATGACCCCTCGAGGGATTGCCATCACTGCGGAAAGCAATTTCCCAAGCCCTTTAAGCTGCAGAGGCATTTGGTTGTGCACAGTGTGCAAAAGATGTACCTCTGCCACTGTTGTCCGTACGCATTTAATGATCCATCTCAGCTGAAGTCCCACCTGGCGGCGGTGCACGGCCTGACGGAGGAGCTGGACGCCAAGCACGTGACGATTTACGACTGCGAGCAGTGCGCCAACGTCATGAACATCATCAAGAAGTCGTTTGTGTGCAACACGTGCAATTACGTCTTCTGCAAAAAGGAGCAGTACGACCGGCACGTCGACAAGCACCTGAAGGGGGACTCCAACTCGGTGAAGTACCAGGGGGCAAAGAGACCGCTGCTGCTCTCCGGGGAAGAGCTGCCGAGAAAGAGGTGCTCCCCCGTCCCGCATCACACCAGCGCCAGGAAGGGCGGCAGGGATAAGAGAAAGCGCAAGGGAAGCTCCGAGCGCGAAGTGCCCGCTCATAACAAGAAGCACAAATGCGCCGCGCAGCAGGGCGAAGGGGACAGAGCGGAGCGGTGCGCCGCCGCCGCGGCGAAATGCGCCGGCGGCAGCGGCGAAGCCGCCGTGGCACGAGGCGATAAAGTGCAAGTGAAAGCGGCGTCCGCAGACGAGCCGATTCGAGCCAAAACATCTTGCGCCAAGGCGAGTGCCGATGTGGGTTCGCCAGCTAGCGAGGGCCCTAAAGATGACACCATTTGCCAAGATCCTCCGTCTTTTCACAATCAAGAGGAATCCAAAAAGTCGACGGGCAAATCTGCGGAGCACCCAGCCGATGTTTTAGAGAAGGCAGACTCCAGTCAGGAGGCCACGAATGGGAAACGAGCGGACAATCTTCAAGTTGTTGAAAAGCAGAGCAAATGCATCTCCAACTCACCTGCTGCTGAAAAGGGGAGCCATGAGGTCAGTCACCAAGGGAAAGTTGCGCCCGAAGGTTTGCTCGCCTTAACGCAAACGAGCAAAGGTGTTGAACGGCACACACTCACCAACGGGTTTAAAGTTGTAAAACGACAAGGTTCTGCCGGCCACAAACCTCAGACAAGTGCCAATCATTTGAGGCTCGCAAAGTCTAAGACCGTCAAGAAATTACCACCGCTGCCTCAAATGAGGCACAATTTGTCGAAGACTTGGATCCCAGTTAAAAACAAATCGCACGCTCCATGCACGGCCAAACAGCAGCGTCAGACAGCTGAAGCCCAGGACAGCATTTTAAGCCAGCTATTTGGTCGGAAGCTGACCAACTTTAAGATCCCTTTCAAGAAAGAGCCTGTGGAATAATTTTACACTTGACATGGCATGCATTCAGATTTAACGGAGAAAGTGTCCAAGTGAGATTCCTTGTGTCTTGAAAGTGTATGTATGTTTGATGCAAGATAATGAGAGAGCGTGGTTCCGCAACAAAGCGATGCATCGTTGAACATGTATTATGATGGTAAAAAGGGTTTTGCACAATGATTTTTGGCAATTCTTCACACGTAAAAAACAGACCCTGTCTTTAGCCTTATAGAATGCAGGGGCAAGTCAGTTTCGTACCTATTAAGCCTAGAGTGGCACATGAGGGAGTGGTATAGGAAGCACCAGGCCTGGCTGCCTTTATCAGGTATTTACATACCACCACCAAGTACTCCCTATGTCTGAGAAGTACTGGTTCAGATACCACTTTCCACTGATGCTGTACATGGCCATAAATTGAATTAATGTCACTGGGATCATAGGAAAATGTTCTAACCACTATTGCACCACTGCCCAGAGCATGGGAAAATCAGTGATTTCCAGTTCAAATTATCACTGAGTTTGTGCTCATTTTCAGTTTACAGCCCTGAGCCAGTGGTGGAAATCCCACGTTCCTATGACGGGGGCGAGTATATTCATACATAGGACAGCCACTTTTGACTTCTCTGTAAATTGGTACTGAATGTATCGACCCCAGAGGGATAATGGACTGAGTTAACCCCAAACCAGGATGTTAACTAATGCGACCTTCCATTTGTGTGCCACTCATTCTACCACTCAAGTCACCGAGACAGACCCGGCTTACATCCCCAGTACATGCATACAGCACCATAGCCACATTGTTTCACGAAGGGCATAACGCCTGTCATTTACGCGGAGTTGTAGTTTTTTAATCGGCACGTAAATATAATTGGTGCTTTCTTGTGGGTGTGATTGATAATTGTTAGCGTTTTGCCTGGTGTTAACGTGCACGGCCACTTATAGGCAAACTGCCCTCAAAACTTAAAAAAAATTGTTACCCGCTCCTGCGCCCTTGGGGAATATTGTGGGGGTTTTTTTTTACAGAAAGTATTGTTGGCCCGGCACATGGCGCTAAGCGCACACAAGTAATCGTCTAGCCTGTGCTATATATGTTTTTCGTGGGCTGATGACTTATTCATGCGTCCTCATTTGCGGACCTAAAAGCGAACATAATCGCACACCAGTTGTATTATAGTTTTTTTTTACATTGCCTCTGCATGGTTTACATTGTACGGTATCAAAGCCAGACTTGCTGTTTATTGTTATTTTTTTACTTTGCATACGTGTGCATTTTCAACGCTGACTACGGATTGCACCATGAAGGCATTCACTCAACTACTATGTGATTGAGTCTCGGTACGCATGATCGTGAATGTGAATCATAAAAGTACTTGTGAGTGTCTTGAATCGTGTGTGTGTGTATATATACACGGTATATTCAATGTGTCCATATATAGCGCCTACTATACTTTGTACTTATGTGTGTATAAGAATATAAGTATCATATATGTGCATGTATATATGCAGTATGTATATATAATCATTTTGCATATCATGTAGAAATGCATTGTATGTGTGTGCCTGCTTCATACTTTTTTTATTACGGCAAAAGCTGTTGCAAAATTGTGAAACGATATTTCGAGAGATGTGCATAACCCAATTAAGGTCAAAACATATGAAGTTCAAAGTATTACAGCATGTAGAGTTGTCGACAGGTGGACTTTTTATTGCAAAAAAAAATGGTATATGTTAGAGTTTAATATATTCCACGAAATTGTACTCGTGTTGTTTCAGTGGTAACGTCAATATAATTTCCGTGCAAAAACTCTAAATTACATTTTATCAGTTGATGTGCCTAGATCAATGCCGATTGATCACGCGCGCGTATGTCTCATCACAATATTGGTTGCATAGATATTCGCTGTGACATTGTGCATAGAGAGTAAAGATTTTAAAACGTATTCCTCCAGAGGAGGAAAAGATACGTGTTGGCGTTCGTTACGTTTAAACTGCAAAGTGAATTCATTCCTCGTTACACATTAAGGCAACTATTTTGGGTGGGTTTTTTTTTCAGCATTGGGCCAATGTGCGGTACAGTATGTCTTTGCGCGTATGAACATCAACGAGCTTTATCGCAGAAGTTGTTGAATAACAACAGCGATCTTGGCTCATGTAGAACTCATTTAACGTGTTGGTCTTCTGTGTTTAAGCACTGACGATGGTGTGCTGCATGGTGATTATTATTAACAGACGTGTGTCATGCTCGTACTATATTTCTGTTTTAACATTTAAAAAAAAAAGAACTTGGCGAACTTGAAGTGCGTTCCACGATTATTATGTTTAAAGTAAAAACAAAATCAGACGTTTACAATTCATTATGCCAAGGGAAAAGTGCCGTGTTTGTTGTATTTTGGTGCTGATTTTTAAAACATGTACATGCGTATACATACAAAAAAAAAAGTATTTTTTACGAAAAAAAAGTTGCTCTAAGGAGACCAGACTTTGAAATAAAAGTGCAATCACAATGATTTCTGCGTGTTGATATATATGTTTTTAATGTGTGTCACTGCATGCGTCTGTGGTACGGTGGCCACAGCGCTCGGCTCACATTTTTGGCAGTGGCAACTTGGGAGCGAATTCCGTCCTATCAGCCAACGATGACAACGACGGTGACATTAATTTTAATTCTCCCCCTCTCCTCCACCGCCCTCACACCAACATTGACCGGTAGTCAATCGGCGGGCCGCGTACGGTTTGGGTAAATCGTGTGCACTGCCACCTCTCACCAAGAAAATCTGGAGAGCACCTGGAGGGAGTAAGCCAAGCAAGCGCTCCCTCTAGTGGAGGACCTTCTGCCTGCGGTGATATCAACAAAACATTTCAGGGCTGCACCTGTACCCGTTGACCTTTATCTGCGCTCCTGGATGGATGCAATTCGTACCGTCGTGTGCGAAATCTACAGCAGCGGTTATCCTACAGAGAGATTGACTCCCCTCGACCGTGGGGATTGTGATATTTCCACCACCGGCTTATGTCTGCCAATGGGTATGAGCGACTTAAAATCGTCCAGAAAGCAGTAAATGCGCTGCAACAACAACAACAATTAAGTGGTGGTGACGTCACCACGGCACTTGTGCCAGCCTATGTGCACTTTAAGGCTACGTGACGTGTCGAAGGCTTGCTGACAGGAGGTCACGGGACAGACCCAGGTGACATGGGTTGGCCGACTGAAATGACTTGCAGATGTACCGGATATACACCCCACTGTGCTAACTTGTTGCATGTTATCGGCCTTGCGTCGCTCCTCTGTCCTTAGTTGTTGTTGGAGAGCGACGGCCTCCAACTGCTCAGTAGCGTCCTTCACGAGCCTCCTCCATAGAGGCCGATCATGACACCGCTGGTACCAGTCTTCGGCAAGTTCACATCCTTCCGTTCCGCATCAGTCCATCTCTTTTCCAGTCCGTGTCGTGCCCATTTAGGCCCCTCTACCCAGCCAAACGGGAGCTGCTTGGGCTTGCGTTGGCTGGGCGCGCGAGCCAAGGCCGTGTTATCCAATAGGCACAGTCAATGTGCCTAGGGCTTACACAAACTAAACGGCCTACGAAAAAAATGTACCATCTTTTTTTTTGTTTGTATGATAAACAATGTAACCAACATATCTTCTTGAATAAATGTATTTTTTTCTAGATGTGAAGCTTTCGTGACTGCAAGGATTCATACTCTTTGGGTTTTTTCGGTAAAGTCACGTAGGTAAAACAAAATTAAAATAAAAGAAAACTAAATCAAATCACGACGTTTCGGAGGCAACACAAGCTTCCGTCTTCAGGTGGAACAGTCACAGCAAGATAGCTGCATCAAGTTATTTGATTTAGTTGTTTTCTTTTGTTTTAATTTTGTTTTATCTACGTGACTTTACCGAAAAAAACAAATGTATTTATATAGCAAGTGTATATACAAATAGGAAGAGTCATGTCAATGTCATTCGTTTCATAAGGTGAGAAAAATGCACACCAGAGATGTACTTTTTGAGATTTGTTTTCATTGCAAAATTAACCTTCAAATGGCGTCTTTTGCACACTCTCATTCTCAATAGAGAGTAGTCCAAGGGAAGACAAACGTTGTTGTCCTATAATTGATAAGACAGGTTTTTGTTTTTAATTATCAGCTTTAACTTCGAAAAAGAACGCTCCCCTTCACAATTCGTTCCCCAAAATGGCAAGATACATCCTTAGGGCAATGTAAATATTCGTAAAACTGTTGATGAGTTTGTTAGATATTTGGGCTTAAACCATACCTGACATTGTTGTTTTCTCCGCATGCAAATGCAGGAACAACAGGGATTCATCAGTGAATACTTTTTCAAGATCTGCTGGATATGCAGAAAACAATGCATTGGCCCGCACAACAATGTCTTCTGAGGACATTGATCTATGTGCAAGGAAACTGAATCGATCATTCAATCTGGCATATGCTTTTTGCCATTTTCCATCTCCGCAATCAGTTTATTCATGATGCGATAGAGGCATTGGATACGGAATCTGTCACTTAGATTGTCCGCACTGAAATCAGTACCAGTTTGATCAACAAATTGTTTCCTCTTTTTTGCACGACTCTCTTTTGTAGCCAGATGTTGTGAGCCCTCTGGCCACTGTTTCCAATTCCTCAAACCTGTCACATCATGTGTCTCAAAAGTGGTGCAAAATATTCTACCTGACATGGAAAAAATCATAAAAATCTATATTCTGAGATGGTGTAATATCCGCAAAATATGATCTTTTAATCTGCAGTGACTTCAGCCCAGAGTGCAGGATCACTGACAGGCCTACGAGTAAAGTGAGCATCTGATGTTAGCTTTAGAGTGTCTGTGATTTTTTTCACCACATCATCTGCTTCCAAAGGGGCATTAGCCTGTTCTTCACTTGATCTACCCTCTATGTGCCAATGCGATTCTGCTTCAAGAACAACATTTTCACAAGGTTCACTATTATCTGATCCAACTGTATCATTCATGGTGATGATTCCATTTGAGGTTTTCCACTATCACTCTTCACATCCTTGTTCATGAACTTCAGAATAGATCCCTTGATCTCTTTCAATGCCTCATGCTTTTTTTCTCGTCTCTTCCTATTCTCGTGTCCTGACTCGTGCTTTATTTTATATCCATCTGACATATTTGAAGACTGGGGAGTGTGGGATCACCTAAAATAAATACGTCAATAAACAAAACATACATTTTTATTTAAAGCTTTCGTGACTGCAGGGATTAATATTCTTGGTTCTTTCGGTAAAGTCACGTAGAAGGGAAACAAAAAAATAATAAAAATATAAAACAATAAAATTCTCACGACGTTTCGACTGTAACACAAGCAATCATCATCAAGTGTGAAAACCACAGCAATAACCAAAAACATACATTCTCAAACTATTGCGAGATTTCAGTGTAAGAAATTACATATGAGTAAATGATTTGAAATGAGAAATACACAAGGCAAGAAGCCAATAACACTCTCTGAACAGCTAGACCAAACAGGAAAACTAAGAAAGGGAAAATGTAATGATACTTGAATTATATTAAATAGAGACCTACGGTCTAATCTGCTAAATGTTTTATTATTTAGCCTGAAATAGCGGCCAAGTACGCCTAGTATCTGCGACTAATGGAATGAATATATCAGGCAAACCGGGGGAATATGGCAACTTATTTTTCTACGTGGTAATTTTGACAAAAACAATTTGTATTGTAGAAAAAACTAGTTAAATGTTTCTTTGCATTATTTTTGCCACTGAATTTGTTGGCTGCTCGTTGCAATTTCTTTGCAGTGGTGAAAAGTCGTTGACTCGTTGTGAGGCATATTACACCGAAAATAACAGTCAAACAAATCGTTGAGTTTAAACGAAGGTAAAGCAATTTGGCGCTTGACATGAGGTCGTCCTGTCACAACACTGAATTTGTTGTCGATGAAAATGAATGGCATCTTTGAAAACTGCGTCATTCGATATGATGGTCAGAGTAAAAAATAGTTGACCTTGTGCGTGTTTTTTTTTCTCTCTCAATAGTTTCAAATAAAATCTGCGTACCTGCGGAACACCTTGCACCCCCATCGAATTAGTGCGCAGACTAAAATAATGAACTTATCAATAACGACATCTGTCCAAGCGACCGGACGAAGTTTGCATGAAACAAGTGGAGTGACAGCGGCGGTAGTAACATGGAGCAAGCAAGCAGCACCAACCGCCGAGAGTTGTCACTGAAGGCCTACGAAACCGAAGTGCCTCGGGCCTCCAAGAACCTTAATCCGGCCCGTGATGCGGGCTACAAGACCCGGCCAACGCAGCCTTGCCTACCGTGAGGAGCTCACTGATGGGAATGTGTCCAGATCTTTCAAGGATGGTGTGAGCTCCTCACACAATCCAGCCTGGTTAAACCCAGGATGGATCGGAGACAGGCCAGCCTAAATGTTCTTCACCGTCGCAGATGTTCCATTAGAGGAGGTCTACTTTCACAAACATAGAGAAGGGAGGGTATGGCTGTGGCCGAGAAGACCCGAAGCTTCGTGTGGAGCGACAGACGAGGTATGTTCAACATCGCTTACCGCAGCTGATGAAAAGATCATGCCGCCCGACTGATTCGGAGTGAGACCTCTGCTGTCAAACTGCTGCACACATAAATACACATACAAACCCGTATTATTTATGCTACTTTTCAACTTACTTTTCCTGCAAGAAAAAAATATATGGTTTGTTGAAGTATAAATAACCTTGCTTCTTGGGAAATATTCCTTCTTAAAATGTGTCAGCAAATGTATATCTGAAGAAGCAACAATTTAATGTTCGGTAACACAAACCTTGTCCCCGAATAGGGAACTCATCTGTAATTAAAACCGCGTCATTAATGTGTAATAAATTGCCATGCTCATGAGAACAAAGGGCATTGTTGGATTTTTTCCCCAATTGGTTAACTCCACACATTCAGATATACGCTTTTGTTTTCCCCTCGGAGGTCATCTATGCAATTGCGTCGATCTACAGTATACCTTTGTGATACAAACTCAAAAAAGGCGACACTTTCGTCAATAACACTGCCTTAAAGAGACACTGCGTACAATCGGTGACGTTTTGACCAATGGTTGACAGAGGCAGAGCGGCCTCACTGTCGACCTATGTCGTGCATCACCTCATACGTTGTCGTGGGACACAATGGCCAAATACCAGGTATCCCTCGTTTGACGAACGTACCGGTTTACGAAATTTCGCGTTCACGCCATTGACAAATTGTGAACACATTCAGATGGACGAAATAGCCATTCGGCGTTAACAAACGTTCACGCGACACGTGCCACGTGATCATCAAACAATAAGCGCGTGGGAGGCTGCGTCATCCATCCGAGATAGTGTCGCGGTGTCCCGACAACACAACGGTAAATGCCTCCACGTCACCTTTGCAGGCATTCAAACTTGCAGATCTTTTGGTCAGTTCCCTTGAAAGGTAAATAATTTTTTTTAGTTTTACATGAATTTTTATTTAAAAATATATATTCATGTTATTTCTTGTTATTTTTGTGTTGTGAACAATGATATAGACAGTGCATTTTTTTGAGGTTAGGAGTACAGTTGGAATGACCGTCCAAAACACATCCCTACATTTTGTTGGTATTCACGGGAAAAGCGTCCCTGAACGTAAACCGAGGGATACCGGTACAAGCAGAATTCCGTTTTGTGTCTGCACATTTGCATTTCTGATGGTCACGGAAACATCTCCTCGTGCAAACGTGTGTTTTAGCAACACACAATTGCGTTGGCAGCCCTGAGCATGTGGCGAAAACTCCACAATCTTTTGTCAGGGACCAGTCTCCACGAAGGACAGACGTTGACTTCTCACAGAGCAGTCGCGTTCCTCTTTCTATTGACTCTGTAATGGCCATTGTCTGGGAAGAAGTTTATATATTTGCAAGATTGCAAAAAAAAACTATTAAGGAACCTTTCTTATGCGTGGGCTTTTGTAACGTAAACATATTGGCGCTGCTATGTCCAACTTTTATCTGTGTGTGAGATAGGGCATGGGCAAGTTTTGTGAAAATGTATCGGTTTCCGATGTGCTAAGGGTCCTGAAGAAGATAAGTGTATGATTTATATGCGGCTCAAGCTGTGTTTTACTGTCACATACACTTGGGCATTACATATCGGAAACATTAGTCAGGTTGAGAACACGGTGAAATCTTTAAATGTGCTAAGATAATTTGATTCATCTGACAAATGTAAATTTCTCAACATCCCAAGAGACCATCAATTTTATTAAAGTTGAATTAGTCTATTGTGTCTATAAGGGCCAAGTCTAACGTTTCCTCTGCAAGAAGATTAGAAATATTGATTTAACTGCTGATCTAACAATGAAGGAATGTGCATACACTAAATTACAGCTTTGCAGAGGGGAACACTGCATATATACTGTAGTCGTGCGTGTGTGAGTGTGCGTGTGTGGTGTGTAAACATCAGCACTGGGGAGACAAAGGTGGCCATGCATGGCGTGGGCCACACACCCCCTCGTGTGCCGTGTCCGCTTCCATCTTTGCCAGCCAACAGCACTTTCCCAAACCGTTTGTTAATGGATATACGGAGGATTTTTGTCTTGACTTAAAGCTTTCGTGACTGCAGGAATTCATATTCGGTAAAGTCACGTAGATAGGTATCTAGTCACGTAGATAGGTATCTACGTGACTTTACCGAAAGACCCAAGAATATGATCATTATATTCTTGGTTCTTTCGTTAAAGTCACGTAGAATGGAAACAATTAAATAATAAAAATATAAAAAAAACAATAAAATTCTCATTGAACCATCAGGTCTCTTTTTTATTAGGACATCCAAAAAAGAGACCTGATGGTTCAATGAGCCACTCTGTCTACAGGAAAGCTACCCATACGGATGCTTACCTGAAACCGGATTCCCACCACCATCCATCCCAGAAGAATTCCCTCATCAAGACTGCACCATAGAGCCCAACGCATATCCGACCAGGAACACATAGCCAGTGAACTCAAGCACGTACACCAAGCTCTTAAGGCTAATGGTTACTCCGACTACACAATCCGCAAAGCTATCACTCCAACCATGAAGAAGGACCCTCTTGAGGAGCCTTTCAAAACCATCACTTTCTCCTACATTGCGGGGATCACAAAAAATATCTCCAAAATCTTGAATAAACACAAGATCCAGGTCCGATTCAACACATTACATAAAATCCGTGATCTGGTTCCGTCTGTAAAAGATGTGATTCCGGACATACAGTACCCTGGCGTCTACAAACTAAGTTGCCTCTGTGGTAGTAGTTACATTGGAGAAACCAAACGACGTCTCGGACCGCATTCGTGAACACAAAGCAGACTTAAAACACGGTAGGACAAACACCTCGGCCATGGCAGATCACTGTTATAATTCAGTAGGCTCACATGACATTGACTTCTCCAAGACAGAGGTTCTTTGCAAGCCATCTGGCTACCATGAGAGATTCGTTCAGGAGGCTATCCACATATACAAACACAGAGACAATTTCAACCGAGAAGATGGATTCTGGCTTAGCAATCATTGGAAGGATTTGATTAACCATTTCGGGTCTTAATTGATTGTTCACGCTTACGTGGCTTTCAGACCGCATCCATTATTTTGGTCTCCCCCCTCCTCTTTACCGAACATAGATGGACTCGTCCATCTGAATACCTGCTAAATCGCTCTCCTTGGTGCTAACGTTAAAAAAACCGCCACTTTTTTCAAATCTTCTTGCTGTGGTTTTCACACCTGATGATGATTGCTTGTGTTGCAGTCGAAACGTCGTGAGAATTTTAGTTTTTTATATTTTTATTATTTTATTGTTTCCCTTCTACGTGACTTTGCCAAAAGAACCAAGAATATGAATCCCTGCAGTCACGAAAGCTTTAAATTAAAATATGATCTTTGTCTTCTTTGTCCGTGTGGCATTGGAGTGTTCAATATGGTCCAAATTCAATTCCAGGCTAACATCAGTGGGGTGACTCTCTGAACGCGTTCCCGGTCCTCCCCTAGGTCGACTCGGCCTTAAACGAGTACCCGGTGCGATGTGAAAACATCAGCACTGAGCAGTGTGGTTTTGACCACACCGCCTTCCCCCCCCCCATGCACTGTCATCCAAGATCAAAGGCGCTTGCTAACAGCATTTGCTCCTACAGCCTGTGTATGGCTATGATGAGGTGGATGTATTTGCCTTTGTGTCGTGAGTATCGCTTAAGCGACATTGCAATCACTGCATCAAAGTACTCCACGTTAGGCTGGATCCAACTTGGGTATTCCTTCCAAACCAGGTTCAGAATCCCAGTATTGGTGGACATGACTCGGAGGAAGCAAGCCTTTGTGACTGGGGTCGTGAGCTCAACGCATCTACACATCGTCATCTCCGAGTTCTACTTCTGTATAAACAAGGGGGAGGGATTCAAGTGTAGCCCTGGAATTGCTCGCTCTGAACTAAACATTTTCTTTTTTCCAGGCAAGGCCCACTGAGCTGTGTAACGCTTTGTCAGAAGTGACCTGACCACAAATGATAGCTCAACGAAGTGGCTTATCGTGTGGAAATGTATAGCATCGAAATGCTCTCAGCGCACGTTTCTAAATGTGGAGGAAAAAAAAACCCGGAGGACCCGGAGAAAAATCCACGAGACCACGGGGAGAACACGCAAACTCCAAATACACAACAGGTGTCAGGGTCGGTATCAAACCCACCACCTCCTTGTATACCATGCGAGGTAGTTAACATCTCCCCTCATTTGGCTGCCACCAATGAGAAGGGTCTCCGCTTGAGGGAGCTCTGGAATGGCCTTCCGCGATGGCCCAGACGTCTTGGTAGATGTGGAAGAAACGTGCAAACTTTACACCCCACGACCACACGTGCGCTTCTTCCCGACCTCCTGTGGTTGCATATTTGCTGATTGGTGGACAGAGGCGACAGCGTGGGGCGAGGATGGGGTTATTTACAAACAATTGGCCATTGTTTACACTGCCGCGCACCGGGAGATTGAATGCCAGTGTTCTAACCATTGCGAGACGACAGAATCCCATAAGCTACACATAAAATGCCCAATATAAAGGCTTTACGGAGACACAAACGGAACCTCGTGGGTTGGCGATTCATACCTCGAGGAAGACGCATCCCCCACGGATGAAACACGTATTTATTTTGTACACTTTTAGCTGTACACCGAAGGCCGTGTCGTCCGGGGATGTCTCGCATGAGCACGAAAGCTTCCTGAACGAGAAAACCCCAAGTCACCCTTTCAGTTCACTTTTCAGTCATCAAATACGGGGGGGGGGGGGCGCCCTCAACACTGGCGCGGGACGTTGCGGTTGGAGCCTTGGGCGGTGCGTTGCAAAGCTTCCCGATGACGGCTGTTTGGTTTCGTGCGTTGCATCTGACGACAATTTGCGATCACGCTCGACATGGGAGGTCGGCAAAACCCGCGGCTCCGGAGCCGCGTGCGGCTCTTTAAAGTGACTGCATCGTGACCGTTATTTTGTGGGGGGGTTTTATTCTTAAGGACCCACCGTCTCGGATTCGCCACGTGCATCGGCGGCTCTCGAAGCGTGTTGTTGTTTATATACCGAATTAGAAATATATGTCTCGTTGTTATTTTGGTTGCCAAACTCTTATCTATACGGTCATCAGCCGTGACCATATCGACAGCAGGATGACGCTAGGACTCCCCACGCGATCGTGGTGTCGCGATGCGACCCTTCCCACCCGGCTTGTTCTGCGCGTGGGCTGAGCAGACTGCTCCATCACTGATTTGGCTGCCACTCCGTAGATTTATTGTCGACCAAAGCCATCATCATCGTCATCATCACGATCTACACTTTATTCAACCGAAATTAAACGCATTAATTGGTGTCGCTGCGTTGGCAAGTGGTGCAAAGTCACAAATAGTAACAACAACAACAACAAAAACATCAACACCTCCGTCAATAACAGTGTCGAAATAAATGCAATAAATAACGGGCAACGTGTTAGGCAATTGCCCTTCATCATTGCATGTAAATAAAGCTGTCTACCGAATTGTCATGCAGTCCATATGTCTCCAACTCGCCTATGTTCTCTGATCCATGCGGGCTTTTTGTTTGTTTGTCTCTCGGTGAAATTGCAAGCTAGACCAGCACCTTGGCGCACTTCTTTTGCACACTTTGCAGCGTTTCCCCTTCGGCCGTGCCTCTGTCCACGCCGCAGTGCTACAACGAGAGATGTGGCGCAGTAGCTGGTGGGACTTGCGCTCTGAATCTGGCGGCACCTGAGTTAGATTGTCGACCGTGGGGTCCGTGTCTCATTGAAACCGAACCGTTCCTGGACCTCCTCCCACCCCCACCCCAACACCACCCCTCCCTCCCGCCAAGAAGGGATAAAGATTCCCCGTGTCGCCGGAAGAGACTGCTAGGACAAGCGCTGTTTGCGAGCACGGCACGGGGAGGCGGTGGGGTGGCCACAGCACCACGCTCGGCCGCCTTTGTCTCCCCTAGTGGCGATGTTTGCACATCGCACCAGACTTCCAATCATGTTACCAATCTCGTACTGATCAGTATGGTGAAGTATGGGCAATGCCTGGTAAGGCGTGGAGGGTATTTCGTCCACCATTGTATTTACAAAGGACTGTACGTTTAACACAATGATGTATTGAACAAATGTCATGGTTTTTTTATTGAATGAAATGAATAAATTAAGCCTAGCTTTCAACTGAAATGAAGGATTTGTTTTCTAAATACCCGTATTGTGTAAATTTACAAAACCTATTTACGTGTGAACAGCACAAATGAAAAAATAATTCCGAATTATATTAAGCTATTATTATAATCTGCTGAAGTTAAACTGCAAATAATAAAATAATGTAGCCGGTGAAAAAAACGTTTAAAAATAATGGATTCTAGTATTTAGTAAAGTATATAATCAGTTTAACACATAGGCTTTCGCGACCAATATTATCCATAATATAGTTTATTTTGGGTTAGATCGTAAGTATATAATATTCAAATATGATTTATAACCTTCGTCAATTTAATATCAATCCCTACTCATCACAATATCTCTAATAACTCAGACATAGAATAGAGTTTCAATTTAATGGCAGTACTGCATATTCAAGACATTTAAAATCTCAATCCCAGTTTTGGAGGATCACCAAAACAATGCCATCTGTACATATACAAAACAATTTGTTTGATGCAATATTAAGATATAGGATATATAGTAAGACATGTATCAACACGAGTCTGATGGAAATACTCCCCTTTGCCATGGGAATGTAGAATTTTCACGACAGACGCACGGCATCAAGTAGTGCAAAATACATATTAATATACACGTATCCTACTCATACATATGACATACGCAGTTGCATTTAAGCGCTAATTAAATAATATATTCCTGCCTTTTCTTGATCAACGGCTGGATGAAGTGAAGGATCGTAGCTTGTTCGGTTGCTTTAAAGAGACATATAGCGATCTTTAGATTCCTACCCTCTGCTCCTATACACACCCGTACCGATACATACATCGGTTTAATGTATACGTTGCATATAATTACCATTCAATTACACAGACAAAACCTGAACTCACCCAGATAGTATCGCAGTTAACATAAGTGCTCTCGCCATGTGGTGATGAGGAGCGGTGGTGCAGTGATTAGGAGCGATGGTGCAGTGATGATGAAATCGGCACCCTCGATGAGTTCGATTCCCGGTGCATGGCTATCGTCAGTAGCAAGTGGTATCCGAACCGGTCGAGACCTCTCCCCCACTGGCACTGACCAGCGTGGTGAAGTAGGGTCAAGGCCGACGCCCGGTGGGGAAGTCTCCATCCAGCAGTGGATAGAGAAAGAGCTGTACATTATTGCAGTACACTACGTATGTGCGTTATATATACATTGATCCATGAATATGAACCATACGCACTCACAGAATACTAAACATCCACACATACCTCGCACATCTACTCGAAAACAGAAAATACATCATCAGCGAATACATACTCGGATATAAATCGCACCTATACTGAACAGTACACACACATATGCGTCAACCCACCACACCTATACAAACACACACACACACATATTGAACACTCGTACATACACATCATCCCATCCCTATATAGGGTACATAAGCACATGCACCTGTGCACTTAATACGAGCTTTCGGTGCATATAATTACACAAACCCACCACTTATCTGCAGTACGCCTCCACACACGTGCATTTTAAACTGTAACGCAGGCAAGAGTCTGGATCCACAGTATCCCCTCCCATCTCACCACGGCTACCCCATCTCCCTCTCTCCTCCTCCTCAGTGTGCATCTACCTCCCACCTCCCTACCCCATCACCACTCCCCGTCACCCATTCATTGCGAGCGAGAGCGGTGTCAGACACTGCTCCGGCAAGATTCTGCTGCTGCTGCTGCTGCTCTTGCCACCACTGCTGGCGTCTGTCTGCTGTGGTCTATCAATTGTTTATTGGTGTCAGGAGCTTCTGTCTGTGTCTTTGTGCCCGTGTCTGTGTTCTCCTTCCTTGCGTGTGTCTTTATCGTGGTGTATCTTTCGCTGTGTGCGCGTCTGTCTCTCTTCCTCTACGTCTGTTCGTCTCTCTTGCTCTCTGTTTCGCTCAGTTTCTCCGTATCTCTTAAAGAATCCTAAATCTCCCAGTCTCTAAACATGTCCAGGCGGAAGCAGCGAAACCCACGTCAAATCAAACGTAAGTAGGCACACGCACACACACAGACACGCCACTTAGTAGAACGTCGCTAAGTATTGTAGTCGTGTGCGCTGTGGAACAGTGAACATCTCACGTTGCATTGTATCTATGCGTGGTCTCTGAACTATAATTTGCCTGAAAAACGTGGATAACTGCAAACACGCATTCACACATACTGACATTGCAGAAGGGCAATGCTGTTGAGTAATTACAAAGGATCGTATTATTGCAAGCCTTCGTTTCCGCAGGACGCTGTAAAGACATCCACAACAGTGTTACATTACATACCTTGTATGCGTGTGTGTATGTAAATACCGCGTCTGTGTGTGTTTGCACTGTTGGTGCGTGATTATCTACGCGTGTATCTCGACCAGTTTAATTGTGCGTTTGCATATGTCTTGGTGTGTCATCGCCTGTCTGCATTCGCTCATGTAAGTTCACAGTTGTTCAATTATGCAATTAAAACGTGGCCTATGTGTATACTCGTCAGTGATCTCGGTCTCTGCGTGCATCTGTGCCAATGTTCTATTTATTAGCCGGAGGTTATGTGTATGTTTGGGCTGTTTTTAGATGATGTGCATAAGCAAAATTAAATAACTATATATACACATACAATCACTTAGGCAACCACAGCATATAAGTCACAGTCCTGTACCTCCATATGTTGTATCTCTAATGGCTGCCATATATATACACGCACGTGCTAAATGTATATTTACTTTTGTGGATGTGTAAACTGTATCGAGATCACTGCAGTTCTATACGTGTGCTGATAAAGTACTTTTCACGTCGATGAGATATGCCTTTATTTGATCAAAGTGCCATTTAAAGCAAAGCTGAGAGTTTACACTGACTGTGAAACATTACAGGTGTGTGTTGCCAAGTACGATGAGATGCACCTCCACACACACCTGTATATTACCTATTACATATGCTACATACCTGTAATTCTACACAGTTCACCGGAAGCACTTTGCAATTCATCTGTCACGTGCATTGGTTGCCTCCATACTCACAAGCTGTGTCAGCGTATTGGAATGAAATAGGATTATACAATCAATTATTATCATATGCAAATACTGTAATGGAATGTTCCCTGGGAGGTTGATTATCTTAAAGTAGAATAGCAGCTAATACTAGGCGATAAGACGCACAACTTAATGTAAGGCATTTGTTTTAATTAAAATCTGTAGGATAATTAAATGAAAATGCAATGGTCCCAAACGAACAGCGTGTGTAATATCGAGGCTTAAATGCCGACATGCATACAATAGATAAACCAACCCCGTGTTTTGTTTAAATTCACGTGGATTGTCACCTGAGATGTCAAGCCCATTGCTTACAGGTTGTGCGTATTAATTCATGTCGTGTGTACATATCAACAAAACACGTATGAAGTATGCACACAATACGAGACAATATTCCCAAAGGAAATGTGTTGAAACTACCCGGAGGTTGAAAAGACAATTGTGGATATGCTCGTAACTAAAAACCGCAGCCAGTGATTGTTGCATTTCCACTGGTAAATGCATCGCGTATCACGCGTCAATTTTAATTAGAAGGCGTACGTTTTACACAGTAGTATTATTTAATGAATATAAGTGAGGTTGCATTAAGGCTTAATGATTAAGGGTACAGTGTTGCTGTATGTGGCAGGCTGGTGTTTGCAGATAAGCTTGAATGAAATGATAATCGTACGGTATAATTTCACCGCTTTTAATTGAATGTCTTGTTTAGCTGGTGGTGAGTAATCACAACCCTCAATTTAGAATATATATACATTTCCTCACCTTGTCATGTTCCTGCCGCGTGTGCATGCAATTCAAACACGTGCAATTTGTGGAAATGAAAAAAAAATATGCCATCATTATTTGTCCTTGTAATGCACACAAAATTAACTGCATATCGATACAAGTCTTTTTTTCAAGCTAGTGTCCATGTGGTTAATCATATTTAAGTGGTATATAGATCCACGTGTTAGAATGTAAAAAAAAAACATTGACAAATATGCTATAACCGGTTACATAATGGAAGTCACGTTTTATTATTTGCCATTTTTTAAATTGGAATTTGGGTTAGTACTTTGGCACATGGTGTCCGCTGCTCTTAAAAACGATGCCACAGAGTCGAGAACTTATACTTCGCAAAAGACGTGGGCTTTGATAATAATGCCACACACAAAAACATTTAATGGGTGATTGGACGCTTTACAATGTTAACACTGGCTCCAGAGTGAGCATGTTGACAACTGTGAAGCATCGGCCAAGGACATGTATCGGAATAATTCCATACATGATAGAACATGCAATACCTATTTTAATTGTTGGAGAATAATACAAAAATGCAAAAACGTAGCTATGTATATACTGTCTGTAATTTACAGGAAACATATGCCTTGTATATGAATGCTTCCATCTCGAACCCTGTTGTTGATGTAAAGTTTTACGCCTGTAAGTCGTCAAGAAAAAAATATCGCTACGAACGCTTTGGTTTGTACTGGGATTATAATGACGTATTGTACTGTAAACTATTGTGTGGCAAACGTTTACTTCATAGAATGAGTGGAATGAGGCCAATATATAGAGCAGTGCTGTTTGTTAAAGCATACCGAGACAGACAACTGATCAAAGTAGCCGCTGTGTTCTTTTGGTCATTGCGTTTGTAAAGGTGTTGTGGTGTGCAGCATCATCATCATCAGAATCCATGGTCTAACCAGTGGTGGATAAGAGGCTCCCTACTATTGTCACTACCACTCCACGGCCGTGCGAATCTTGAAACTGTTGCATTCCTGCACTTAAACTGATCGCATTGCTCTATCTGCCCACGTGGTCGTCTTCTCTCTTTCAGCTTCCATTCCATTACTGGCCTTGTCCGTCGACTTTCATCTCTTCAGTAGCCGTGTCCTTCCCAAGCACCCTTACCATTCTTAACCACGTCAATACAGCCAACGCGATGTCTGAGATTTTGCATTCGTTCTCCGAATACGCGTTTTTCTCTGTCTGTCAGAGTAATTTCTAGAGTGCATCTCTCCATGCCTTTCCACTTTCTAGATTTTCTTACGTCTTCTTTGTGTGTACATTTCGTGTTCAGATGCCATAAAATGGCAATGTGCAGTGATTGAAACGATTCACCTTCGGGCGCTGTAGTTTACTGATTTTCATTATTAATTTCAGCCTTCTAAAATCACTCCATTCTGCTGTTGTTCACCTCTTTATTTCGTCAGTTTGATCTTAGTCCACCTTCAGTAATTTGCCAATGTTTATAGATATTCAGCGGGGTTCTAGCCGTGTCACTCCAACAAACGTATTGCGCTTAGATGCAGCCATCATGCGGTGACTCATGTTCGTGGGGACGTAAAGATTGCTCAATCGTGTGACTTAATGTAAGCCTTTGAAACGCCGCTCATCGCGCCGAATTGTTCCGGCAACTTCGAGAGAGTTTGTCAAGAGTCGAGACTCTGACTCTGGCACAGCGCGTTTCAGAAGGCGCGATTGTTAATTGCACACAAGGGGGCTTGCACAAAAGGATGCACCGCAGAGAGAGAGAGTATTGTCATCATCATAATCGCACATTTTTTAACTTAGACGAGGGCATATTTTTAAAGGCATACAGTGAAATGTTGGTGATGGTGGTGGTGTGTGAGTGCAAACCCAACGCAATCTCCGCCGGCTCTCCTTAACCGTCTACCATTTTCTCATCCGAGTAAGGAGTGCAAATGCATTTATATGTTCATGATTTTTTTTTATCACATACACTTCATATAAAATGTAAGAGGGCTAAAGAAATCACCGCTGACTATATACAGAGTGAGTGGTCCTGTTCAATAGTCACATACTGTTTGGTTTCAAGACACACATCTGAATTCACGTGAATGCATCTACGGCATTACACAAATTGTTTACTTCATACGTTACGTACCTAATTGCGATTTTTTTTTTGCCGAGGTGGAGGATTGGACGATGTAATATGTATGTAAAGGCCGCATAGTTAGTTCGTTTTAATGAAGAGTTGCCATAGGAATTGATCGTCATGTATCCCCTAAGCACATTGAGAAATAGTCTCTTTGTTATGGCAGATGACACTCTGCCAGTGTAATGCCCAGACGGAAAATAGACTTTTACAAATCGGCCATGCATTCCAGCTTAATGGGTAAAGTAAATAATTATCATTCGAAAAAGCTTTCAAGTGGATGTTTGGAACATTTTCATAAATGGGGGGGGAAATGCCATTACTGTAGTGGGCAACATTATTGTGCCAATATTGTGTGTACAATATAGCTTTATTTAGTGTGTTAAATATGACAATACTTCCATTTAAAAAGCCCCAAACATTCTTTATGAGAATAAATCTAAATCCAAACACATTATTCAAATGTTAATGGGATTAAATTGAATTTAGCAATATTGTCATTATTGGTTTTTTTTGTTATTCTGAAAAATGTTTGTCCATATTTACGTAGATAGCAATTGCGTTTTCCTCTCACGCCATGCTTAATGATAAGTAGCCCACCGGCGGAATAAGTTGTACCGAAATGGCAATATTACCCTTTTG